TCTACTTACAGATTATTAAGATGATTACAAAGAGTGAAATATCGTGTTATAATACCGTAGTTCAAGCTGTGATTAAATTATTATTATGGAGCAGCTGAGATGAAAGATTTAAAAATGTAGGCACTCCAGTTCCCATACGGCCATGTTTCTCCCTTGCTCCTCCACAAGTCTAGATTTGCCCAAAGAGTATCAAACTTTACTGTTAATGGAGGCGCTATTACATTACTTTTGGTATATCACAAATGGTCCAAGGCCCTTAAAGCTTTATGGTGTGTAAATGATCGAGTCATCGCTCTCAAACTTTTGATATTATAATTTTTCAGTGTTATGCCCCAACAAGACATCCAGATTATAATGGGGACTTCAATGCAAAGGTTGAGAGTAATAGAATAGAAAACACAGTGGGACCATTTGGTACAGGAAATCTAAATGAACACGGAGAAAAGCTTGTCGAGTGGTGCAAAGAACACGATCTTACTGTAATGAATACATGGTTCAAAAATCATCCAAGAAAATGTTGGACATGGAAAAGCAAGAAATCAAATTGACTACATCCTGATACAAGATCGGTATCGTAACTCCATAAAAGCGTGCAAATCCATGCCAGGTGCAGACTGCGGCAGTGACCACATCCCTGTGGTGGGAACCATGACAGTCAAACTAAAAAAGCTGAAGTCAAATAAGTCTGACAACGGCTGAGGAAAGATAGCAGAAAATGAAGGAAAGCATCCATGAAGCGGCTAAAGAGTACTTTCCTGTTACAGAGAAAAGAGCCAGCAAGAAATGGATGACCCAAGAAATCTTGAATCTTATGGAGGAAATGAAAAAAGAAAAAATTATGAAGAAAAGTATCAAGAAAAGAACAGACTTGAAGAAAAAATGTAATGAAGCCAAAGAAGAATTGATAAACACTCAGTGTATAGAGATCGAAAACAACAACACCAAAGACAGCAAATATATGCACCAGAAGATCAGAGAAGTTAAAGGGAAGGCTCCAACGGCGAAAACAAGATGTCTAAAATTTAAAGATGGGAAAATCCTGATGACTAAAAATGACATACCTGACAGATGGTAAGAATACATTGAAGAATTCTACAATGATGAAAGAGGACCAACACCACCCATCGAAATGGATACTGAAGGTCTCCCAATTCTAACTGACGAGGTGGAACTTGCAATGCAGAAGATGAAAAAAGGTAAGGCAGCTGGCCCAGATGATTTGCCCAATGAACTCATTTTAGCCCTGGAAGAGTTGGGGATCATGTAAGTAACAAAATTGTTGAACATTATATATGACACAGGAAAAATACCAGAAGGTTTTTAAAAATCAGTCTTCATTGCACTACCAAAAAAGCCTGAAATAACTGACTGTGAACAACACACGACCATCAGTCTCATGAGTCACATGACAAAGGTTCATGTACTGAAGGAGGGACAAAATACATCCAGAAATTTCTGAAACTCAGTTGGGTTTTGTGGCTGGAAAGGGCACTCAAAATGCAATGTTTACATTAAATATGCTCATGGAAAGATCGCTGGATATGCAGAAGGATCTATACCTCTACTTTATTGACTATTCAAAGGCCTTCGACAAGGTGAGGCATGAGGATTTATTTGACATGTTATCAGACCTGAATATAGACGCCAAAGACCTAAGAATCCTCAGAAACCTCTACTGGGAACAAATGGCGGCGATCAGGATGGAAAATGAACACAGCGAATACAGTTTAATTAAAAGAGGAATGAGACAAGGTTGTGTGGTGTCACCAGATCTTTTTAATCTATATAGTGAAATGATCCTAAGAAATATCTACGAACATCAGGGGGTCAAGTTAGGCGGCTTCAACAAAATAAGGTCTATATTAACAAACAGGAATATCACAACTGAAACTGCGGTCTGTGCTATTATTATGGTTGTGAAAGCTGGACATTGAGCAAAGGCACAGAAAGGAGATTGGAAGCCGTTGAAGTGTGGTTTCTGAGAAGGATCATAAAAATGTCATGGACAGAGAGAAAAACAAACTTGGAAGTCATGGCAATGATAGGATACAAAAGATCCCTGATAAAAACCATCAGAAAGAGACAAATGAAGTTCCTTGGACACATCTGAAGGAAGAATGAAATAGAGAAACAAATGCTATGTGGAAAAATAGAAGGAAAGATAAGCAGTGGACGGCAGAGGGACTAAGTATGTTGACAGCCTCAACACCTATGTCACAAAGAACACCGTAAGCAACACCGAGCTGATAAGGAGGACTGTCAACAAAGAGGTCTGGCGTGCTATGGTCGTTAATGTCTGCCCCAGACCTGAACTTGAAGAAAAAGAAGAATATATATATTTATTTCATTTCAACAGACCAACAGCGAATCATCGCCACTAACAGGCTGGTAAAATACATACAATTTAAATATATCAAATATACAGACGAAAGAGTACAAAAATATAGACAAACTATTGTGAAAAATGTCAATATTAGAGGTTAAAATTTAACTGTGTCAACGGCTATCTTTATTATTATTATATAAATATATATATATATATATATAGATAGATAGATTAAAAAGCAAAATACTGAAAAACAACAATGCTGTGAGAAACAATGGCTGGATCTCAGTAGAGATACAAAAATGATAAGCAGCAGCTAAAAAGTAGACGTAAGTAAACAGCCAGAAATAGAACCAGAGCTTTCGGACAACACCAGTCCTTCCTCAGTGGCGAGGGATATATATATATATATATATATATATATATATATATATTGTGTCGCCAATGGCAACGGAGTAGTGTCACGGGACGTGACATTGTAGTACTCTATAAAAGAATAAACTTATAGTTTTTACGATTTTATTACAGATGGTATATTTTTATAATTCGTGTTGCTACTGTATATGGTTCAGGAAATTGAATATTATTTAATACCGAGTAACATATGAAACAGTAAGAGAAAGGTGTGCTACTACCCATTAGGTGTCAATGTTTCCTAATTTTTGTTTGGATTTCATGGTAATCCCCTGTTCCTCAGAAAGATGCAATGGGTTCCTTAAAGTTCACGATGTTAAGGCTGTAGTTAGCGGCGCCCCTGCCTTACTTACTTGTCTAAATTATATATAAAATATTGAATGACTTCTTTTTGTCAGTTTCTTTTGGATTTGGATTTGTTATTTTAGAAAAAAAAATCTGTTCCCATTGACTCCTTAATCTATTATTTTTTAATAAATGTAATTAATAATTATATCCACAAAATAGTGGTAAGTGTTAACATCATGGTTGGGGCTGAGGTGGGCAATCTTTTGCAACAATCATAGGCCTACGTTGCAACTTTTCTGATTTGATCAAGCGTCAAGACTCCCGAATTTTCATACAATCTTCCGGTCTCCCTAATTTTGTCAAATTCTAAATTTTCAGAAAGAACCCCAAAAAATGGCTAGGCTTAATTAGTGGCTCAGTGACCAATTTTCTGTGTCATTTTTTCCGACTTTATCAACGATGTGCGTCGGCTACAAGGCTTTTCCCAGTTTTACACAAACAATACTCGCGTCGTCCCGCCCGCAATATTCATCATTCATTCTCAAAACATTCTAACTCTAGTAAAATTACATTTTTCTAACCTGGTTGGTCTTAAGAAGTTAAAATGAACAGGCAATACGAAAACAAGCATGGCTTTTTGTTGACATATATAACATTAAACAGACAATGTGATGTGAACATTGATAATAAATTTATATAACAAATAATAATAATAATAATAATAATAATAATATTAATAATATAATAATAATAATAATAATAATAATAATAATAATAATAATAATAATAATAATAATAAATTGGCACTTATATAGCGCTGGTATCCGTCATATGTCAGGATTTAAGGAAAGGTTTTGGGGTGGGGGGTGAGCGGAGTGCTGAAAAGAAGAGTGCGATGGACCACGTTGACTCCACCATGGTTGTATCGCTGGATACCTGGAAATGAAATTAAAATTACCTTTTTAAATTGTTTTATTTGACATTGAGTCAACAAAAAGTTGTGAGAGCAGCTGGTGATAGCCACTGTGTGTGTGCTGAACCGTGGAAATCTCTAGGTCCCCGGTTCAATTTCCATCGCTGCTCCCCTTGTGTTTCAGCTGGAGGGTTAAATAGCGCAGTCTCTTCGGAAAAAAGTGATTGTCTCCCGGTGTACTGCTCAATTCACCACTAGAAGGACCCCACTGGAAACAAGTCTTTAGACTTAATGGGTTATCCTTGGTGTGATTCACACCGAAACACTTCTATCCTATCCTTTCCTGTTACTTTTTTATTGTGACATAAATTTGAGCTTGAAATATTGTTAGATTGGTGGGTGTGGTGTCATCATCAAATGACCAGAATTACTGTTGATCATCAATATTATCCTAAAACAATCAAAGAAAACTATAGAAGTCATGTTTATATTGTGACATCTCAAAAAGATTAATCAATAACTTTGTCACTTGGATATAAGATTAAGCTCCATTATTATTATAATTTTTAAAAGTTTAGTGGAGCTGCCTCTAGGCCTGTTGCCCCACCCCCTTGAATCCGCCACTGTATGATGAACGGTACCTACTAAAGTATCACATACAGTTGTTTTCTAAGACATAAGAGTGTTTTGGTGCTGTCTGAACAGCGGAACTGCAATCATCTTGCTAATCAGTCTCTCCTTTTATTTATTTTTCAACCTCAGAAGAGGGGGTGGGGTTGTGCTGAGGTAGGCCTACCCCGAGCATGATACATGGGTCGCCGGATGAAGCCGGTACCGGTTCCGACGGCTCTGTTTTCAATATTACGTTACAAACATTCCAACGAATCCCAATTTCATTTGACTGTGTGGCATTGATACTTGAGATTTAGAACAACGTTTATATTCATTCTTTTGATCAACGGTTGAATGCCTCTCTACTATTCTATTGATAAAGGTAACAAAAGAGATCCGTCAAAACCTAAAATTTAAGCACAGATTTATTCCGCTTCGAAGTATAACGTTAGGTTAGTGTATCTATGGCATAGACATACTGCGGTAGCCTTCTAAAGTATCGTTATGAGTTTCTTATCATCGGTGGAACAACCCGGCCGGTCACCCCGGGTTCAACTGCAGCTTTTCTGTTGTTTGATTTTCTTCAACGTTCTGTATTTTGTGAGTATTTTCCAGTTTTTTTTTTTTTTTATTTCAGAGTTACAGGATTCCTCCCATCATAAATAATTCAACTTTTCCCCCGTTTTTATTGAACATTGACGATAATAAAATTAAGGTGCTGTATCCTGTGTAAAGCTACCAAGATGAAATAGCCTACATGAATGTTTACATTCTGCATGGATCCCGAATATTTTTGATAGAAAAGGAGAACAAATCGTTATACTGTACTACTACTATTACCTCTACTACAACCACCATGCACAAAAGAAATTATTATTTTGATACAATCTGCTTCCGCGCAAATAAGCTTTATTGCGTTCTGAATTACCTTCGACAGCATATCCTCTATAATACATGTAGCGTATGATGTTTTTGTAATTTTGACAGTAGATATAGGCCTATTTTGAAATAAGTTTTGCAGTATGATCGCATATAAATGTTCTGCTTACAGTGAAAGTATTATAATAGATCTAGCCAATGGTTGTTAATAACTCCTTGATTTAGCTGAACATAGTATAATATCCTTGACTTCCTTGTGAATAATTTACCAGATTATAGCTAATGATAGGAAATATAGGCCTAATCACCAATATGAAGGAACAAATTTCGGTATTGTAATGTATTTTAGTTTGATCTATCAGTCATTCATTATAGCTAAATTTAATTACAGTATTTTTAAAAACGATGTGAATACAGCCTGTTTTAGAATAGAATAGGCAGTACTATTATAGAGAACAGCAGCTCAGGCGGTTAAACTGGTGGTAGGCACTGTCCCTGTACGATTCCCATCAATGCTCTCCATTTGGTTCAGCTGGAGGGCTAAAATACAAGTATCAAAAGTGCGCCGATTTTTGGATAAAACTTGTGCAAAATGGCTCATGTGCACGTTAAAAAACGCAGTACAACCTTCGGAGAAGATTAGAGAATTTCTCCCGGTACACTGCCCACGACCCACAGACCCACGGGAAATAGGTGATTCTTAGTGTGTATTACACTAAAGAAATTCAACCCAACCAGTAGTACAAATAGCTCCACAGAGTTTTATCTTTAAAAAGGGAACTGATCTAATCATTGTTTTGTGGCAACGCGCACCCATGGAAGCCCGGCCCAGGGGAAAACGTAACATGAAGGTTTCCTCAACAGGAACATAGCATTTCCCGATAAGCGTCGCTTTCGAGGAACACAGTAGAATCGGTGGCGCAACCATCCCAAGTACAGTTAGATTGGAATGTAGCTTCTCCAGTCAACCCCCACCCTATTCCACCCCTTTCCTACGCCATAATTTTTAATGTATTATTTCGCTTTTCATCACAGATCATCGGACTAGCATGTGAAATAACAAGTGCCTACATCGGTATCGCATATCGTGATAAAGTATACAGCATTGCAGTAGATACCGACAGCATTAATACCATCGTAATAGTGACAGCAGTGTTAGGACTTGCTCTTTTTATCATGACAATCTATGGTTGCTATGCATATTCAAAGCGATTCAAGTCTTCTGTGATCTTGGTAAGTAAGTAGGTCTCTATTATTTATTATTATTATTATTATTATTATTATTATTATTATTATTATTATTATTATTTATTTTTTTTTTGCAAGTGAAGAGTTCGCAAGTTGTTCTCGGGAAGAACTCGAACCCATGATCTCTTGATCACTAGCCTTGCATCATACCTTCGAGCTTGTGCCTGATGGCCAGGGCTTAGATTAGAGCTCAAGTAAGCAGCGGATACTGCAATGTGAATAGTAATTGTTATTGTTGTGATAGAATTACTAAATAAATTATACTGAATAGGCCTATATATTCGTATTTTTAAAGCATCGATGGCACGTTCTTTTCTGATTAATTTCAAGATTTCGCTTACTTTTAATTCGATACTAAAACTTTCATTTTTGTGTTCATTTATGTTTAGATTTCATGTCTATTCTGGTAAATAAAAGTCTAGTTTGTCAGGATTTGAACCTGGGACTCTGTAAGTGTAAAGCAGGTATCTTTACCCAAAAAACCACGCTTCTTTTTATCATCATTGTTGTCATTACTAAAAAAATTGTAACTATTTTTTTTATTTTACTTCAGTTTACCAAGATGCATCTGCTTCTGTTTATCATCGTTATTGTCGTAAGCATTGTCATTTTCTTGCTCAGTAGTCAGAAGTCATTGTCAAGCCCGACTAGTATACACCACTTGGACAAATATGGACAGCCTGGGTTCGAACAGTATACAAGTCAATGGGATGAATTACAAATAGTGGTACGAATCTATTTCATGATTTTTGTTTGCATTTCCCTTCCATTATTATTATCATATATCTATTCTTCATTGAGTACAGTCCATGCGGAACAGACATTGAAATATTACTCTGAACACGTGTATAAGTACATTTGCAGAACATGCATAAACATATTATTGGCAAACACATAGACAACCCGGATAAATAATAATATTGTTTTTCCGACAGGACATAATAGGAATGTTTTGCATACTGACGTGTTATCGGACTGAATGCTTAGTACTTTCTCAAAATAATTGTGAAAAAAAGCTCGCAAATGGATCGGGTGGGGATCGAACCCACCACCACATACCCTGTCTCTTATACACATCTTATAGCGCTGGTATCCGTCATATGTCAGGATTTAAGGAAAGGTTTTGGGGTGGGGGGTGAGCGGAGTGCTGAAAAGAAGAGTGCGATGGACCACGTTGACTCCACCATGGTTGTATCGCTGGATACCTGGAAATGAAATTAAAATTACCTTTTTAAATTGTTTTATTTGACATTGAGTCAACAAAAAGTTGTGAGAGCAGCTGGTGATAGCCACTGTGTGTGTGCTGAACCGTGGAAATCTCTAGGTCCCCGGTTCAATTTCCATCGCTGCTCCCCTTGTGTTTCAGCTGGAGGGTTAAATAGCGCAGTCTCTTCGGAAAAAAGTGATTGTCTCCCGGTGTACTGCTCAATTCACCACTAGAAGGACCCCACTGGAAACAAGTCTTTAGACCTGTCTCTTATTAGACAAGTTTTAAGACTCGCACCATTAATGCCGAAGAAAACATGTATATTTACCACGATTGAACAAATAAAAAGGAAGCCATCATGACCACTCAAGCACTAGACCTATTATTATTGTTCGTACAATCATATGACCCTTAAGCCGGACACTCACTGCGTCGAAAGACGGTCGTACGACCGTCGCACGACAAATCCTCATTTGCTTCGAGTCGGTTTGGTGAAATCTGTCCAGAATATGGGCTTTTTCTGTCCAGAATACGGGCTGTATGGGGGCGCTGTTGTCCAGAATACGGGCTTTCTCTGTCCAGGATACGGGCTGTGAAATTTGTCCATAATACGCCATCATACAGCCCGTATTCTGGACAGAGAAAGCCTCTAAAACTAGAATATGACGTAAGAAAGCCCGTATTCTGGACAACAGCGCCGCCATACAGCCCGTATTCTGGACATAGAAAAAAGCCCGTATTCTGGACAACAGCGCACCCATGCAGCCCAGAGAAGGCCCGTATTCCAGAGCCGTAGATAGAGAGAGTTTGGCCAACTCGGTTTCAATCACGTGACTTACACCGGCCATGTTGTCACCAACGCGATAGGGTAGGAAGTTAGCAGTAATATTATTATTATTATGCTATAATTATAATGTGAAATACCGTTATGTTGGGTTTGGGGTTGCTGCAATCGATCCAACAAAGAAACAAAAATGTATTAATTTCCTTAAATTCCAAAAAGGAGGAGGATTTGGGATTTTATTTTAACTTTGCATGGCGATCGAAAAATCTCGCTATCCACGTAGTAAATTATAAGGCATGTACCGCCGCCCGACCCACTTCGCGGTAATATATATCCACCACCTACTACTACTAGGCCGAGACAGGCCTAAATTTCGGTACTTCTCAGCGGCCGAACACCGTAAGGTAGTACTTAAATCGGCTTAATTACGATGATAATAAAAAAAAAAAAAAGGAAAGGAAGGATTTTCAATCAGCAATGATTTATAAAAAGATGCAATGTTGCACTTTGCTGTTAAATTATATATATAGGCCTAACTATCCAGAAAGCTACATGAAGAATCTGAGTCAAAGGTAGCTTAAATTATAATTAAAAATAAAAATTGAATCCTCCAATAAAAGCGAAAACTTGTCCAAGGAGTCCTGTACTATGCAAACATGCCCAATTGTGCTTTACAAATCAATTAATTGTGCAACTAAAGATTTTAAAGATAAAAATATATTTTAAAGATATGCCTAATTGTATGTATATTGATTGTTTTAATATATATATTAAATCAAAACGTTTAAATGTTTTACAAATTACAAATCAAAATTTCAATGAATAATAATAAATAATAATAATAATAAATAATAATACAGTAATAATGTTAATATTATAACTCACTAATATTATAAACAAAGTATGGAGAATGCTGCTATTTTACTTACAAGGCCTAGCTTCTTGATGATTATGAATGATTAGGCATATGTTATATGTTATACAAAAATTTCTCTCAATGCAATAATTCTTCAACTTTGATTTATTGTTTAGATTACAATTTACAAATAGGCCTAGCCTAGGCTATTTGTATTGGTTTGCAGATGACCAGCATATTATTTCATAAATTAAAGTTTACGAAGTCATAGGCCTAACCTAAAGGCCTAGATACAATTATAAAACTTTCATGTTATTAATATTTTTATCATTCATTTACAGGCGAAATTAACAAATTAACATATTATCGCCGACGATTCACAAACCTACTCTGTCTGCACAACCAACCTTTCTCCTCTGCAGTGTTGACTCTTAGGAGCCTCAGAGGAGGCTGCTAGCAACTAGATAGGCCTAGGCCTAGCTAGATGATAGACTTTCAAAACAAAAAGATAATCGTAACGAAAAAAAAATAAAGAATCGTCCTCACTTTATCTTCTCGAAATAATACAGCACGTCACTGATTAATTAATTCCAAAGTTAGGTAAATATGATTATACAGTATATGATATGTCTCTTATACACATCTAGATGTGTATAAGAGACAGGAATAATGAAAGAAAGTTTATGCAGCATCAGTGTTTTATAAAATGTTATAAAGCTATACGCGCGCACGCTGTTTGGTGACAACATGGCGCCCATGCGCCAAGTTGGCCAAACTCTCTCTATCTACGGCTCTGATAATTTTAATGGTAGCCTGCCCTCTTAAGTTTATACGGTGACGAAGTTTTTGTTAGCCGTTGGTTGGTCGATTGACAACGCCCTTCTCCTTTCTTCTCTCCTCGAGTCTGATCCTTTTACTTCCGGGTTTTCAACTTCCTATGGACCGCATTGTATCGTCGCACTGTTCACAACCCATGCGCCAAGTTGGCCAAACTCTCTCTATCTACGGCTCTGCCGTATTCTGGACAACAGCGCCCCCATACAGCCCGTATTCTGGACAGTTTTCGCCACACGTACTATTTGCTTCCGGCGAGCGATAGACGACGCAACGCCGTCTGCTGATTGTCAGTGGTAATCTGAACGGATCCTCATTAAAAAGACGATCCGTTGGGTCCCGAGTCTTCGCGTGCATTCTCCGTCGCGTTGCCGTCGCGTCGCTGTCGCACGCAGTGGGTAACCGGCTTTACTGAACATTTTCTAAGCCAAACCTCATACCACCTTATTTTGTTAGCTATCATCCAGCATTCTCACCTTAACTTCACACCCCCCGACCCCGCCTCCCTGTCAACACACCCCTTACTCCCCTTCTGGTCACTAATGTTTTGTATTTTACAGGGTTGCTTTGATGTTGCACGAGAGTCGCTTTCATCCATCTACTATATCGTTAGTTCCATACTACTATTAGTCGGTATTTTTCTGGTAATATACTTTCTGTTTATTTATTTTTTCATAACATTTGGTAAAGAATGCACCCATAATGATAATGATGTTGGTAATTATGATATAATAGCAGCAGCAGCGGCAGCTGCGGCAGCGGCGGCGGCGGCGGCAGCGGCAGCAGCAGCTGCTTCTGCTGCTGCTCAGGAACCTTTTTCAAAGTGGCGAGAGGCACACTGGTAAGATGAATGTGAACATGAATGGGTTCATATTTTGGGGGTTGGGGGCCAACATTTTCTTTAAACCCCAAAAAGCAGGTGGATCCGGGCGTCCTCCCCGAGAAATTTTGATTCCTAGATGGTGGGGAATGAACATTCCCGACTTCGAGCTAGGTGTCTTTTAATGACTTGAAGACTTTAAAGTCCTTCAAAATCAAGGTTTTCCACCTCTTGAAAACGGTTAGGTAAACTTTCTCATTCTTATTACAGTAAATAGGCATGTTATGTGTGTATACAACATTTTTAAAAAATGAGTAGTTGCATACGTGTTTTTTCTCCATGAATCGATAAACCCCCAAAGAGAAAAGGGTGTTCGGGGGTGCTTCCAGGAACAAATTTGATTCTTAGGTGGCGAGAAATGAGCTTTCCTGACTTTTGAGGTGTCTTTTTAAGTCCTACAAAATTCAAGGTTTTCCTCTTTTGAAAACGATTCCATGAATCAATAAACCACAAAGAGGAAGGTTGGTTTTGGTTCTCCCCAGGAAAATTTTGATTTCTAAATGGCGGGAAATGAGTTTTCCTGACTTCAGAAGTGTTTTTTATTGACTTTTAAGTTCTTCAAATTTCAAGGTTTTCTCCCTTGAAAACGGTCAGGTAAATTATTCTCTATTCTTATTACAGAAAATAGGCCTTATGTGTGTACCGGTATACGTTGCACGTATTTTCTTTTCCATGGATCGATGAACCCCAAAAAGAAAAGGGGGTCGGGGTCCTCCCCTGAGAATATGTTGATTTCTAGGTGGCGGAAAATGAGCTTTCCCGACTTCTAATTTTGTATTCAAGGTCGTTATTCTTTATTCAGATAAAAAAATAAATTAAAAATTACAAACAGACAGCCAAAGACTGTATATGAATGTATTACAATAATTGCTTAAAAATTTTAAAACAGAACACCAAAATTCAAGAAATTTACAACACAAACATAAAAGAAAACAATTGATAAAAAGCATAGCACCAGACATAAAACCAAATTAAAATGATAAAAATGGAATAAATAAAATATATATAAAATTTATATAAAAAACACATTAATAAAAATTGAATTGAATTTTCTTATTGTAAGTAAGAAAAAACTGGTCCATCTGTTATATTTTTTCATCTTTTCCCCTTTTTTTTATCTTTTCCTTTTTTGCCTAAGGGAGGGAGTCAGCACCCCTGATTCCCCAGATCAGCCAATATGCATTGCAAGAAAATCTAACTCTGTTTGGGACTGGATAAATACTCTTTTCCCTCCCTCTCCTTCTTCCCTCTTTCTTATCTTGCATTTCTTTCCGAGACCATACAAGAATCTCCATTATATATTTTCTGCCAAAAAGCCAGGTGACCACCCCCTCCCCCGCGCCCCCGGTTCCGGTGGACATGTAAATTACCATCGGCGCTAAGAAAAAAAATAAAAAAAAAAATAGCTGCAGAATAATCCCATAAAAAGAACTGAAAAATGTTTTTTGAGTAAAAATAAAGATTTAATAATCTAATATTTCACTGTCTTATTTATTTTTCTTTAATTCTTATATTGTATCTAATTTGTTTTCAGGGTTTTGGACTGTTTTTCTCAATCCCAGTTTGTCGGTTTACGGTGTACTATCAACACATTAATGTGCATGAAACACATCTATGAAGTTAGCAAAAAGAATTGTTTTACTTATAACTTGTTGCTGGTGGTGAAAGTATTACAGTATTTATTGCTTGTACTCAGTTATTTAAAAAAAACTCTTTGGTCGTATCATTATCAACATGGTTTTTTATAAGTTCAATGTAAAAAGCGTTTGTGAATATTGTAAATATTTATATATAATATAAATGCATTTCCAATGAATATTTTAAAGAAAAAATAAGTTTTGAAAAGTTATGACTTACTATAAGTATTTATAAAAGTCATTGCTTTTACTTAGTCATATTACTACAATCATAATAAATACCGTACTATATATTGAATATTGTAAATAGGCCTATTTATATATAAAATATAGAGTTGTATTTTGAATGCATAATTCATTAAAATAAAGTTATGAACCTGGGCATTATGGTATAGAATCCCGGCAACTTGGGTGATTATCCATACTCGCAGATTCTTCTCCTTTACCCTTATAATTATAAATAACAATCCCGTTTGGAGCAACTATTTTTTCACGCTCAAAGATTTCTCATCTTTAACGTTTAATATGTATTTATATATATTTTCAGCATTACCGAAAGACGGTTTTAGAGTTTATCTCTTCCATATCATTATATAAGATGTGTATAAGAGACAGCATTTTCTTTAAACCCCAAAGTGTGTGTATTCTATTGTTGTTTTAAGTTATTTTTAAAAATATAATATTATTCCTGAGTTAAATTGTTTTGCACTTATTTTATTTATTTAATATTGTTTTTAATTACTCTTCTATAATTGTATTATTTAATTTTTTTTTCACAACTGTAAGGTATTATATGTAATTTTTGACAGACTAACTACAATCACATTTTGAGCATTCTCAGACCTGTATTTTGTTGAATGTGTATATTGTATTTAATCTAGATATAAATAAAAATACAACGAAATAAATAAAGATTCGTAGTTTGAAAATTTCGTCAGTCGCGGATGTTTCAAGTACACTTACATCAACAGATCAACCTGGTATCGCAAATAATACAACGTTTTGTTCACAAACAATACGTATATATATCCTATAATCCGTGGGTTAAAAGGATTACGTATATTCGCCAACGACGATGAAATACCATACATTCCTTTACGAGTTTTAACACGTCTATATCAACAGATGGGCGGGGGATAGTTTCTACCATTTTTATCTATTTAAGTAATTGTACAGTATTTGTCCTATCTTATAACCCCGGCCCCGAAACCTTGACTCAGAAATACCAGGTTGGTGTCCGGCGGGGGATAGTTTTTACTATATTTTAGTTAAGTTGTAGTTAAGCTTCTATTTATTTATTTATTTATTTATTTTTTATTTCAATCGTCCAACAGGAACTCTTCGTTCCCACTTACAGGCGAAAATTGTAATAAACAGCAAAAGTATAATCAATACAATAAAATCACAAGATATAAAAAGATAAGTATTATTATTATTATTCATATTATTATTATTTCTATAATTATATAATTATAATTATATTTGCTATATTTACAATAAATATGTAAAAATTACTAAAAATTATTTATAATTACAATTAAAATAACGTTTAAATAACACTTTAAAAATTTACAAATTACACTAAAAACATACAGCACTAATGAGAAATATAATTACTAAGGTGATATTTAAACATATTTAAAGAATTAGAAAATATATCAACTTCAGGACATTTTGTAACAAAATCATTATACAAACTAGATAATCGTGAAATAAAACCATTTTTACATACATTAACACGACAAAACTTAACAGAAAATAAATCACGTTGACGAAGACGACGACCAGGAACTTTAAATAAGAAATAGGAGATAAGGTTACAATCAAACGAATTCACACATTTAAACAGGAACAAAAGATTAAGGTACATACGTTTAGAAGACGGACAAGTAACATTTAACCTTGAGCCGGCTTAAACTTGAGCCGTTCTGGCCCCGAAACCTTGACTCAGAAGTACCGGGTTGGTGTCCGGCGGGGATAGTTTTCCACCAAATATTGTTTATTTTATTGTACTGTGCTGGTTACTTTTTGTGTTGTTATTGTAGGCCTACTATGTGTTTGCAGGACCATATTGTAAAACAGCGGTAAGATCTCGCCTCTATATGTTATCCTGCCTAAAGATGTTTTAAATAAAAAATAAATAAATAAAAACAGCACAAGCGTTTAATCCAAATTTTACAGAGTAGATCTTTATTCAGAATCTGTGCACTGAGTTGGGAGGTCGAGAGGATTGTGCAGGGAGAGACAGCCGAGCCGATTTTATTTGGTTGTGCACATGATGCATCTAAGAACACAATTAAATTAGCCTCTGTACCAAAAGTGGATCCAATAATTGCCGGGAAATGGGCTTTCGCATTTCTGAATTTTAAACTATGTTTTATACCGTTATACTGTAGAGTAGTGGGAATGTTGTTCTAAGTTTGTTTTTGCCAGTGATTAATATCCTATATCGATATAAGTTTGCGTCAGGAAAATATCACAGGAGTGATGTTTTGCCCTGCTTTGATCATACCACATACTCAGCACGTCCCCAAATACCTAAGAAAAAATATTAATACATATTAGATTTCCATGTTTTGAGCCGCCCTCAACACCGGGATTAACGCCTTTTAAAACTGCAACCAGATTCATTGACCTATTCAAATTAATATGCCTATTGCAGATATGATGTGCATATCATGATTATACTTACTAATTAATTATCGTTGAGCATGGTGGTAATACTACTTCTATACCAGGGTTTCAAGTAAGATAATGCGATTCGAAATACTAATGCAATGCTCTAATTTTGCTGCCTTTAAACGTTGTTCTTTTTTGGCCGAGTTCTTTGATGGCCGGTTGTTTAGTTTGTTGGGCGAGATTCCAAATAGCAAACTCTACTTGGCTGGCCTGTGGCGGCTGTGAAACTTGCATGATGAATCTGTCTGTTCATAACGAGTATTAATTTGTTGGAAGGGAATGTCTAAATGGGAAATTGTTCTTTGCTCGCTGGTGGTGTATGCTAATGGTTGGTTGTAGTTTGTTGGATGGAAAATATTTTTTTTTTTTTTGAGTTGGTCTTTAATTTGTTAAGTGTGTCCTTTGTTTGTTGAGTTTGTTCTTTGTTGAGTTTGTACTTTGTTGAGTTTGTCCTTTGTTTGTTGAGTTTTCTAGTTTGACTATAATGGCTGCCCATACATGTGTGGCGTTTGACTTGGTGGTCTGTTATTCCTCGTCTCATGCACAATATGAACTCATTAGCTGTCACGCTACACTGAGTTCGGTTATGAATATTTATAATTAACAGAAATTTATCGCAATAGCCCCTAACTGCTACACTCTACCGTAGGAAGGCCTACCTTAGCATTGTGCTCTAGTCTCCTTATACTTCACTTTATGTACCGTATTTATAGAGAGCCGAGCCCTAGCATGGATCCTCCATTCATCACTGTTCCGCATTGCTGCTGGTTCATTTGTCTCTTCTAATCCAGAATTGTTTTCCAGGTTATAGTTGTTATGATTCTGGTTAGCATTTCTTGGACCGTGTTGTTTTAAATTAACAAAATTGAGGTAGCCTGCATGCCTCGTTGATTTTTTCTTCGTTTTAGGGGTTGAGAAAAAAGTGGGGTGGGTCGTGATTCTAAACAAGTATAATTTTTGGACTTACTACAAAATGAAATTATATTTCTCTGTATTTCCAAACATTTTTTTTATTTTCAAAAGCAAAAAATAAACATAGACAAACTCATTTCATGATGCAGTCCACACAGTAGACACAAGCGTAAAATTAAAATGACACACTGTTGGCCAAAAATTTTATATAAATTGAACCATTAAACCCACATAAAATTTCCAACATAATAGTCATAATGTGGAAGCACTTTCCATCCACATTAAGGTTGGTAAGTAGGCCTGTCAGGAAAAATTACTTGCCAAATGTAATCCACACAAGCCAAAATCAGTCCGCTGAAATTTACTTTGCTGCACAGCAGACTTGGAAATATTACGTCCGCAATAGGTTTTGGCGGAAAGAACAATTCCTAAGTTTTTACAGACGCGCATATGCTTATCTAGCCAATCACAATGATGTCCCTAGCTGAAGCCTTAATTTGCATACATCACCCTATATAAGAGTTTATGATCGGCATGTGTTGATAGTAGAGCCTTTCGCGGTTAGTGAACGTTGGAATAACAGGAAGGAAAGACTTAGCAATGTACCACGGACATACATTACCTCACATTGAGAGAAAATTTAGTTTCATATTCATAAGTCATGCCGCCTCCACACCTCATATATTTGGTAGAAAGAGGGTGGGTGGGGGAACGACGTGAAAGTGTTTTTGGAATTTAACATATAGACTGTCTCTTATACACATCTTACCCTCTTAATTTCACAAAAGAGTGGGTTCTTTTCCAAACAAATACATCCTGCCTAATATTGTGAGCCAATCACACAGTCGAGACGCAGATAGCTCAAATCGCAGATTTTCCCCTGCGCATGCGCCAAATTCAGGCCAGGAAGTAGGAATTGTTTACACCTAGCGATGACACGTGATGAATTTTTGCACGGAAGTGGTTCACAAAATCCAGTAAAATTTCATCCAATCAGGATCCTAACTTAGTTTCCAAATATAGTAAAGGTTTTACCAAATATAGACATCAAAAGGCTCAAATAAAGACACACCACTTTAACACAGAACAAAAAGAAAATTCCAAGCAGAAAACGTCAAATTTATGCGTTTGCAGTCAAGAATTCCCAGTTGCGGCCACAGCTGTTAACAGCGCCACCAATAATGTATTTTTAACGTTTTCGCAATTCAGTTCTGTGAACTGCCAGAAATGTTTTTTTTAATGTATTTTGACTTTGTTTATGAATAAAGATACCTTGATATATATTTGAGCTTCCCACCGAAAAATGTTTGTATAAAATGACGGACATTTAAATCGGCGTCCGTTTTTCGAAATCGCTGCAAAGACGAGCGGACGAGTGGTAAGATTTGCTTTCGGTTTGTTTTGGTTTACGACGAATCGGGCCGATTTTTTTCTTCACCAGCCAAATTTTATGAACCTTTAATATGTTTATAGCAAATAATCTATATTTTGTGAAATTTTGGGTTCTGTTCACACATAAGAAAAATGTTGAAATAGTGTAAATTTAGCAGATACTTTTTCGGGCCGTCGCCATCTTTGTTTTGTACATCTCAATAGCGTTAATAGGATCCGTGTGCTTACAGATTATATATATAAATTTTAAAGGGCAAATTGGAAAACCCAAAAAACAGCAAACGGCCACATAATGCAAAACTATTTAAAATTAAAACGGAACAGTAGAGAAAATCCGTTCAGAATGACAAAATAAACTAAGCATCCACTGAAAGGGATCCCAATATCTGCAGACGGATCCTTTTCGGCCTTCCAGGCCTCATCAGTGCAGCTCGGACCCAATCGAAACTTTCGACCAGCTTAGGTAGGGCCCAAACTAGTCCCACGACCACTGATGATTACAGAGCCAAACCAAGGCAATATATATACACAGCGCAGGTGTGAATGCAAATAGTGGAATACAAGCTATGTGGCTCGGTTCCAGTAGATACAGAGAATATTTTGTCAT